AAAACTGTGTTTATGTCTCTGCTTTGATCCGCTCTGTGTTCATGTAAATACCGTAAATACACACAGATCAAAACAGAGACACACTATTGTGTGTGGGGGTGTGTCCCGGAAGCGTCTATCGTTATTCCAACCCAGTTTAGATTTTGCTTCCGTATTACGCAAGAACGTAGCTCTACGCGATAGCGTCATAGCCTTCTTCTTCGGCTGTTATAGCAACCTGGCGTTACATCTCTATGGGCGGCAAATATGATCTGACAAGCGAAATACCGTCCTTTTAAACGCCCATAATTATAATTATAATAATAAAATAGTGCTTCTTTGTCAATATGACTGACGACCACACTTATGCAGTGCTGAGGTAATGTTAATTCATCATTTAATATTAATTCCTGATGGATATAAGAGGGATACATTAGCAAACATCTGTATATATAGCCTATATAATGTTTCGTTTTTTTGTTTGTCATGTAACATATTAACGTTTTGACCTTCTGTTTAGGATGTAAAGGTATCTATTTAATATTTTATTTAATGTCTATTTTGTTATATAATACAACATTTGACATTAATAACATATAAACGTTTGTAAAATATAAAAATGAAATGTTGGGACATTTATAAAAATGTATTCCTTTACATAAAAGTGCTTTCCAGAGGTGTAAGAAGTGATAAGATCTTGTACTGTACTTGAGTAAAGGTACAAGTACCAGAGTGTAGAAATACTCAATACTTTTATTATATTGTGTTGTTTATATATATGTATGTGTGTGTGTGTGTGTACAAATGAATTAATATAAAGTGTATGTGAGTGTGTGTATAAATGAATGAATACATCTGTGTGTATACATATGTGAGTACATATAAGTGTGTGTTTATATGTTTATAAATGAATAAATGTGTGTATATATATATAAAACAGTATCATTAAATAATGCTGTGTGTGTATAAATGAATGAATACATCTGTGTATATTTATGAATAAATACATGTGTGAGTACATATAAGTGTGTGTGTATATGAATAAATGTATATATAAAATAGTATCATTAAATAAATATATATATATATAAAATAGTATCATTAAATAATGCTGTCAAATAAATGAAGTGCACAGTAATAGTCAAGGTTATATTCAATATTCTGCTCATAAGATAAGATATTTAAAACGTCTTTTGTTTGTCCTGAAAACGACATTTGAGAATACATACAGGCTATTTATAGATGATAAAACACCAGTAATACAATCTCAGGAATCTTCGATATGGCTTTGATTACAGGATCGTTTACTTTCAGTCAACAAACAAACAGGATCGTTTACTTTCAGTCAACAAATCCTTTGGAAAGACAAAAAACAACTATTCATCCTGCTTTACCGCGACCGCTATAACAGCCGAAGAATAACAGCCGAAGAAGAAGGCTATGACGCTATCGCGTAGAGCTACGTTCTTGCGTAATGCGGAAGCAAAATCTAAACTGGGTTGGAATAACGATAGACGCGTCCCGGAAAGCGACACTTGATACTGGAAAGTGGAGGATATTAATGATTGTGTTACATTTTAGCAGCGGTGCACATACCATGAATATGGGGACATGCCGGACAGATCAAGTAAGGGTGACGATCCACCCGCTGTGAAATGAACTTATCTTCCATATTTGCCGTACACTTGTGTTTACGGAAGTTGAGATGTTTCTCGGTTCTGATTGGTTGTTCCTCGTCACATGACGAGCGGTGCGCGCTGCTGCAGTGCACGTCTCCATTGAAACCAATGGAAATGAGCTCGCAACGCTGATGTGTATGGCTCCGTACAAAGTTGTACTCATTCATTGCAATAGTATAGGCGACTGTAGCTTTTTACACTGGAGGCGCCCATCTCGGCCGAAGTCGGTTCATATTAACCTAAAGGTTGTGGTGACCACCTATTAATACACTGGGACATAATTCATACATGGAACTACAGTTGGGGCTATTGTTTCCACACGGACATATATGTGTTGTTATCTATATATGTTGTGTGCCCTCCTGGCTCTTTCTCTTGTCGTCCCGGGTTGCGACCCAACAACATCTACATTTCTGCTGCTCATTAAAGCAAGCTTTGTACCTCCATTGCACCGCCTCCGACTCCCTATCTCTCGGCACTACATTGGTGACCCTGACAACGTCTCGTGAAGTTTCCGGGACGGACCCGAACATGGCGAAAAGCGCTGTTTTTCTCGTTATGCCAGAGATTGTTGGAGACGTCCGTGGCTGCCATGCCATTCCCGCATCGTCTCGACACTGGAGGACAGCGGGCCTTCCATCTACACGGAGACGATGCACGACCTGCTGGGTAGGGGAGAGAACCAGACTCCTTCCACGTGGGGTTGTTTCTTCGGGGCGTGCGGCTGCAAGTCCAGGCTGCGCTAGCTATCGACGACTAGCAGCTAACCACGTTAGCTAACGGCTACGGCTAGCAGCTACCGATGGCTGCCAGCTAGCTGCTAACGGCTATCGATCCTTTTTGAGTTTTTTTTCTGGTGCCGGAGAGGAGGTTCGACCAGCCGGTTGACCTCAGGTTGACACTCTCACATTTTTCACCACCTCCACGGCGGTTCCAGATGCCACTCACGTTTTCATCGACGCCTGGGTGGTGCACTCCTGGACCCCGTCTCGCCTCGACGGTTTTGGACGTCGCCCATGCTGCCATCGGCCCGTGGGTGGCGAGCTCCGGAGCCTGTCTGGCCTCTCCTGCCTTCCGGGGATATCCAGACGCCACTCACGTTCATCGGCGCCTGGGTGGCGCACTCCTGGACCCCCGTCTCGCCTCGACAGTTTCGGACGTCGCCCATGCCTTCGTCGGCCCGTGGGTGGCGCGCTCCGGGACCCTGTCTGGCCTCTCCTGCTTCCCGGGGATGCCTCGACATCTGCTGAGGACTTCATGCCCGCCGCCGCGGCACGTCTGCCTGCGGCCGGGTTGCTCTCCTGCTTCCCGGGGATGCCTCGACGCCTGCCGAGGACTTCGTGCCCGCCGCCGTTGCACGTCTGCCTGCGGCCGGGTTGCGCTCCTTCCTCCCGGGGGGACTGCTCCTCTCTTCCGGGGATACCTCGACGCCTGCCGAGGGCTTCGTGCCCACCGCCGTTGTTCGTCTGCCTGCGGCCGGGTTGCGCTCTTTCCTGCTGGGTTCTCCGCGACACCTACTGCGGCCCCCGGTGTGGGTGCCCTCGCCCTCGTTAGGGCCCCTGCCCTCTCCTGCGGCCCCCTTTCGTGGCCCGTTCCATGGCCCGGTCCTCACCTGCGGCCCCACCCTCCTCGGCCCCTGTGGTGCTTCCTCCACGGACGCGAGGATTTTTTTGCCATGTTTGAATTCTGGGGGGGCTTGTGTGGTGACCACCTATTAATACACTGGGACATAATTCATACATGGAACTACAGTTGGGGCTATTGTTTCCACACGGACATATATGTGTTGTTATCTATATATGTTGTGTGCCCTCCTGGCTCTTTCTCTTGTCGTCCCGGGCTGCGACCCAACAACATCTACATTTCTGCTGCTCATTAAAGCAAGCTTTGTACCTCCATTGCACCGCCTCCGACTCCCTATCTCTCGGCACTACAAGGTACATAATTAAATGGTAAATGTCGCCTTTAAGGAGCAGAACATTTTTGTTTTATTTGTGTGTGAATAATGAAATTATTTCAAATATGTTTTTCTGTAATAGGTAATTGGTGTGGAGAAGATTGACCTCAGCCTTCCTTTGAACATTGTTCCAAAGGCTCTTTAGTAAATTGTGAGTATTCAAATGTTTTGTGTGATTTACTTGACTAATTTAAACTTGATCTTTAACTAATTGAAAACTGGTATTAGTCTGACAATTTCTGAATTATTAACATACTGCAAACATTGCAGGGATATACACATTTTCTGATTTATTAGGCAAAAGTTATTCAGAAAGTGAGAGGCAAAAGCCAAACATTCTGCGATAAAGCCTCCTTCACAAAAGTGATAATGTTTTGTTTGTTGAAATGGCTATAAGGGTATTTCTTATATGTCGTCTTATATTACAGTAATACTTATTTTAAGTCGCTTTGGAAAAAAACGTAAACTAAATTAAATGTAATGTAGTCTAACCTGGTTGTTCGTACTTGATATAAAAAGTTATTCTCACTATGGAGCCAAAACAGGAGTAATGTGGTCCCTTTTCCGTGATCTGGTCATTACATTTTGAATCAGCTGAAGCAACTTAACTGACTTTTTGGTACACCCTGATAATAAAGAGTTACAATGAGCTAGCCTTGAAGTAACAGATGCATGGACTAGTTTATCTGCATCGTTTTGAGGCAAGCACACAACTACAATCATAACATCATTAGAAAATGAAATGATTTCATGATTTTTATGACTGTGATATTTTGTTTTCTTTGATAAATGTGGAGTTTAAGCGCATAACAACCCTGCCCCTTGTAGGAGTTTTGAGGTTTTTACAACCCAACTCGTCTCCGCGTGTCGTTTTGGCGAGTCCTGCTTAAAATCATAACAGGAAGGAAATCAGAGAACACCAGCATACCAGTTTAAACAATAATCTGTTTTAATTATAAAAGGTAATAATGCAATGCAATATAATACATTACAATACAATATAATACAATACAATTATATTGTAATGTAAGGAGTAGGCCGGCCCACTCCTGCCCTGGTTCGCGTGCTGCGTAGATCCTTCGGTCCTGGCAGCCCGAGAAGAGAGAGCGAACGCCAGGACTTCACAGGAGATATACAAGAAAAGACAGGAGGGGTTAGGTCAGCTGGTCATCTTTTCAGGTCATCTCATTGGGAGATGCAAAATATGCTGTGTCACAGTGAATCAGCGCGGGCCAGCAGAGAACAAAACAGGCTCACTTTGCAACAAAACACATCTTATCATGTATCTTATCACATAAGTCATGTGTTTCTTTATGAAAGCCATACTTGTTGGAAATGTAACAGTCATCATCTCATGACCTCCTCAGGACCAGCTCACCAACAACGCCTAACTGTCTTCATACCCCCAGGCCATCTCTGAACTTCCATCCACCCGAAGTCAGTTCACCCAGAATCAGAAGGACCATTGTCTCTCTAATTGTGTGACTCAATTCTCCTGCTCTTTTAGGAGTCTTGAAATGAACGCACATACATTTCTCTCACAAACTAACACTTAACACCCCATAGCCTATATCAGGTGACATAAAAATGAATATACCAGAATTACGCTGTATCAAACTTTTTGCCATAATACTTTAAATCAATTTCCACACCCTCCAATCAAGAGTTCTCTCTCAGCTGGATGTGCTATCTGACAAACTTCTGAAGGTTTTTGAGAAGAGAGGAGGACAGATAGGCCAACGTCTGAACTGTATTATGTCAAACATGACTCAAGTAAGAATTCATTTTAAGGAAATTATACATCGAGTCAATAGTGTACACATTTCATTGAGCAAAATAGATTATTTATTTTCTTATTCCCCTTCACGTAGGTTGATGTCGATTTAGGCCGGGATTGTCTTCTCAAGGGGCTGTGTGTGTACCTCTGTGTGTGTACCTCTGTGTGTGCACCTCAATGAGAGAGTTTGTGGTCAGTAGAAGTAATATTTGAACTTTTGATTTTTTTGTTGGGCGTTAAAATATGTATTTATTGAAACACCACATAGTATATAGCCTAAAGTATGTGAACATCCCTGTTTTTTGTTTAATAGCCAGACTACACTGAAAAGCTAGAGGGCCTTTAATTTAAAACGGATACAGGAAATGAAACATTTTTTATCAGGTCAGACAGGAGTATATCAGATAACAAGGAGGCTTAAAAGTACTGAAATCTGACCAAATGTACTTGTTAAACACAGGGACTTAGTAATGGGTATATATATATGTATTGATTTGTTAGATCTCACTCTGTTCCTTTTGTGACTGTGCACTCTGCAGGCAGAAGATGAAGACGTCATTCTACGGTCCATTGAGGGGATTACAGTGGGCCTTTATGTTGTCAAACACAATTCCACCATGAGACCAGAGGACAGATGAGACCAGAGGACAGATGAGACCAGAGGACAGATTGTCCTGGAAGACCAACAGGTAGCCTACTAACTGATGTGGACAACATTGCATTAGCTGCTACCATGCTGTTTGGACTAATGTCTGCAATAAACCTGAACTACCCCCCTAAACTGAAGTGCACGTTCGAAGTGCTCCAGCAAATGTTAATGGAGCTAGACGGCAACATGCTCTCCAAGAAAGCCCAAGCGTTTAAAAACAAACTGTTTGAGTGAGCTGTTGCCATGGACCATTGTGCACTTTACAGCATTCATACTGGACTTTCATCGATACAACTGTCTTGCACTTCCTTTGCTCATGCTTTTTGCTTGATTTGCATGTTTCAGAAATGTGTGTTTTTCCTGGGGTCATGTGTTTTCAGAATGTACCACTTGTCATGTGTTTCAGAATGTACTAATTGCGCTACTTCAAAATGTCAGTTCTTGTTTTTATTTGCAATACTTTCTTTAGTGCATATGTGGTGAGAAACCAGGCCATTTTTATACTTTCATGTATTTTTCCAAAGCAATGCCATTGCTTTTTTTGCATTAAAGTGCCCTTTCATATTAGCAGGTTACTATTTAAATAATGGATTTGCAAGAACATTTCCTTTTTTCGGCTAGGCGTTGACATTTTCTGTTAATTGTTTACTATAAATGAGTTACAAAAATAAGCCTTTCTTTGCCATCTGGCCCAATAAACCTTTATTTTGGTCGGGAGAATAGTTTCCTTTAAGCTTCCTTGCTGTGTTCTAACACAATAATGTACATGCATCACAAACTTTTTCTATTTCTTCTATTTCTTTATTTTCAATGTATTTGTTAATTCTCCTGGGGCTGCATGATGGAAAAACCAAAAGCTCATCTGGATGTGTGGTGGTTGTTAATATTGTATTATTTTTTGAGAAAAATACATGAATGTTGTTCAAAGAAATGTGTTTGTCTTTATTGATTATTTGTTTTAAAATCTTGTGATAAATGCTGTAGATATAAGAGATTAGGATGGATCCTGTAGAAGAATGTACGAAATGCCTCTATTCACATGAAATAAATAATCTTATGTACCCCTTGAGCACGGTAGATTAAACAGAAAACTATAGCATGTAGTTTAAACAAAACATTCATGTGGCTCTGTACAGAAATATACTGAGTATATTAAAAGCCTAAAATGAACATAAAAAGTCATGTTGGTTAAACATAGGGTAAATGAATATACCTATATTAAAGGAAATGTTCACATTAACATAACAATTTCATGTTTCTTTGACATAACATAGTTGTGTGTCTCTAACATAATGGAATAGTTTTGAGCACACATGATTTTAATATATGCAACCGATCTCCATGTTTTTTATTACTTAAGTCCAACAGACTTTTTACAGTGAAGCTTAAATAAAGAAATCATGTTGCTTTAACAGGTACAAGTTAAATATACTGAGCATATTAAAAGCCTAAAATGAACATAAAAAAGTCATGTTGGTTAAACATAGGGTAAATGAATATACCTATATTAAAGGAAATATTCAAATGAACATAACAATGTCATGTTTCTTTGACATAACATAGTTGTGTGTCTTTAACATAATGGAATAGTTTTGAGTACACATATTTGTAATGTGTGCAACCGGTTTCCATATTAAAATCATGTTAATCCAACGGCCTTATTTTTTCAGTGTAGATGCAGTGTTACTGCTGGCGATAAGGGCTGGTTGTTTTAACCATTTTTTTGATGTCCATCATTGACTATATTCTTCTTCTTCTTCTTCTTACTACAATTATTATTATTATTGTTATTATATATGTAATATTTTGGATTTTTTATTTTTTTAACTTTTAATTTTTAACTTTAACCCTTATGCACCCCCGTAGAACCGGGCCTGAGTCTAAGCTCTTTACCCAAAAAGGGTGTTGTTACTTCACCAGGTGTTCAAGTAACAAATTGGTGAATGTGAGAAGCTGTTTTTTAAAAACCCTTTCAGACTCTATGCGCCAATTGGTTAATTTCCTGCCAAATAATTTGGGCGACATAATCATTGCTTTACACACAAAAAGTGTTTACACTTTGGATTAGAGGCAAAATATTCTTGTTTACATAAAAGAAATAAAAAAATAAAAAGTAAAGTAACTCCCAAGGTAACATTTAAATACTTTATTGATTAACAAAGATACACATACGTATTATTCCCCTTCTCAAAGTCATACAGGAAAAATAGTATTAATCAATTCAATGACAATTATTTGTATTGCAATGACATTCTGTGGAAACTAAAATGTTTTCACAAACGACATGGTTTGGGTAAGGGAAAGACTAGCATGGTCTAACATGTCCTACACTGGTAGTTTGCCTCAGAAGTCATATGAATCATTATTTTTCCGCATCAAGATAATTTTACAAAAACACAAGCTTTTGGCACCACGCTACATCACCTGCACACTTCTTCCATCACTCACACTTAACAATGGCATTTAATGTAATTTGTGTCCTGCTTGATCTTTATATGCTTTTTATTATAGATAAATATGTATTACATTATCTTCTATACAGTTTAACATTTGGGAACAAATTACATGTGACTAATAGCATAAAAATAAGCATTTACAAAACAAATACATTGAATGGAAGCTGTTATAAAAAGCCAAATTAGTATAAAATATGGTATGTTTGATTACTTATCTCAATGACAAGTTATTTTTAAAGAAAAGAAAAAATAAATTGAATCGATCACAATTGATTGTAACATCACATGTATAAAATACTGAACAAAATAAATCGTTTGCACACACATCCTTTTACCATTTAACATTGTATTGGTAAATTTCATTTTGCACGCATGTTATGTCTTGCTCTCAGTTTGGTGGTACATTGCTTTGATCCCACTTGATAGCATAGAAAAAGCTCTTAGCCAAGTGTATCTGCCTTTGATGTTTGGTATTAGTTTGTCATCGTCAGGGCCACAGCCAGCAGGGTTAGTGAAAACACGACCAGTGAGCCCATTGTGGGCCGAGGGGGACTGCTTGACGTGGATGTTGATTCTGAAATATTAGAAAAAGCAAAGTTTGTGGTCAGTGTTATTATCTGGACTAAAACTGAATTCTAAGGCAGGAAATAAAGGCTATGCTACATCCAAATCTTGAGCCCTGTTATATCTTTAATATACACCAGAAAATCACACAAATGACATTGTAACATGTGTTTTATTATTTAATATAAATAAATAATTACACCTTAAATTCATAGTTTGACGTTATAGTTTACAACCACTTACGTGCAGAAACGCTGCCTTGTACAACATTCAGGGATGAAGAGCTAAGCGCAGTGCTGAATTTTGAAGTTGCATCGCTTGCTGTAGGAGTTGAGGTTTTATTTGTGAACACAAGGGTCATGTCAACTTTCACTGATCCTTGCCTAGAGTGACAAAGAGAGAAAGCGACACTTAGTGACAGGGAGTAGAAAGGGCAAATGTCTAACAAAAAAGTCAGGGACTGAAATTAAGTCTTACGTGAATTTGTTAATAATGCTGCGAAGGAAAGATGATCGATAGAGTTTTTGAGCCGCTTTGTTTACCTGAAAGAAAACATTACTGTCAATTGCAATGCAAAATAAAAACTATGGTCACAAGCATCTATAAGCAGCTTACCAATATTAGTACACACTATGATCTGCGTTTAACTGTACTTAAGGGGAAGTGGCAAACTCGGAGAAAAACACCTTTCAATATAATACAGGATTACTGTAAGGACTATACAAGTGAATATAGTCCTTAAACATGGCTGGTGTACATTAAAATACAGCATTAGCTATCTGTTTAAAATATCCTGAAGGGTTTAACTACGGAATAAACTTAATTGACAGTTTTGAACATTTCTGTTTGCCTTCTTATGACTGGGTTATGTCATTAATGTGGTCTATATCCATTAATGTTAACAGGTTAATTTAAAATAGTAGGGATCATTTGATAATTTTTACAATAGAAAACATTTAAAGTGTTTTCCAGTATTCTTATGTTTATTGTTGAAAGAAAATCTAACTTTGTTTGCAATACACTATCAAAGTGCTAAGGGATCTTACCTCACTGATCACTGTTGCAGCCAAAGTCTTGTACGCAGTTGATGATGAGTCTGAGAGGTCTGATGTAAATGTTTGGTTGAGACTGAACTGAAGGCCAAGAGTTCCCTCACTGGATGTAGGAGGATCAGTAGAAGCTGTTGTTGTGGCAGTAGTAGGAGCTGCAGTGGGAGCTTTAGTAGGAGCTGCAGTTGGTGCTGCAGTTGGAGCTTCAGTAGGAGCTGCAGTTGGAGCTGCAGTGGGTGCTGCAGTGGGTGCTGCAGTTGGAGCTGCAGTTGGAGCTGCAGTAGGAGCTGCAGTAGGAGCTGCAGTAGGAGCTGCAGTTGGTGCTGCAGTTGGAGCTGCAGTTGGAGCTGCAGTAGGAGCTGCAGTTGGAGCTGCAGTAGGAGCTGCAGTTGGAGCTGCAGTTGGAGCTGCAGTAGGAGCTGCAGTAGGAGCTTCAGTAGGAGCTGCAGTTGGAGCTGCAGTAGGAGCTGCAGTTGGAGCTGCAGTAGGAGCTGCAGTTGGAGCTGCAGTTGGAGCTGCAGTAGGAGCTGCAGTAGGGGCAGCTGTAGCAGTAGGTGTGGCGGTGGAAGCAGTAGAAGAAGCTGTACCAATACAAATGGGTTATCAATTAATCTGACACTTCAAAAGGCATATCATTTCAATGGATTTATGACCAGAGTAATAACGTTTGATAAGTTCCAATTACTTACTTATAGAAACACTGCCTGATATAACGCTCAGGGAGGTAGAGTTGCTTGTTAATGCACTGCTGAGCTGTGAAGTAGCTGTGCTTGATGAAGGAACTGAGCTTGTATCTTTAAATGCAATGGTTGTGTCTGCAACCACCGAGCCACTCCTACAATGAAAACACAGAGAGAGCAAAACCTTTTTTTAAAGCAAGTGACTTGAAAATGTCCAGAAAAAATAAGCAACTTAATAAAATGAATTCTTACGTGAATGAGTCAACAACGGAGCGAACGAAAGATGATCCAAACAGAGTTGTACACACTTTGTTGAGCTGAAAGAATACATTATTATCATTTGCATTGCAAAAATCTAGGTAAATTAAGGAAGTAAGGAGGTATCGAAGGCACATTTCTGATTAACGGTTCCACAATAAAAATTCTGAAGAAAAATAGAAGGACCAAAATATGATATACATCACTGGAAGACCTTTATCAATTATATTTAGTCGCTTAATGATACAATGTATTTCAAACTAATTGTTTATCCTCTGATGCTTATTGAATTAAATACATTTTAAGCATACTTTTATTTTATCTTACCTCTTTGACCACTTCTGCAGCCAAGGTCTGGTATGCTGTTGAGGATGAGTTTGAGAGATCTGCTGTAAATGTTTGGTTGAGACTAAACTTTAGTCCAAGGGTTCCCTCATTGGATGTGGTAGAAATTATTGATGCGGTTGTGGTTAAAGGAACTGGTGCAGCAGTGGAAGCGGCTGTTGTGAGTGGAGGTGAGGTGAAGTTGACCAGTGGTGTTGAAGGGGCAACTGTGGTTGGGGTTTTAGTTGGTGCCAAAACAGCTGAAAATAACAATTGTCAAATTAGTTATCATAGCTTTAAAATAGTTATTCTTGTCATCACATATTCAGTTTGTGTTTGTAATAAGAAGAAAAAAACATTTGTACATTAGGAGAAATCTTACCTGTTGCAGAAATAGAGGATACGTTGACGGTGAGAGAAAAATTAGAGCTGGAAGAAGCAGTTGCCAAAGCTGAAGCCACAGACGTGGCATTTGGCAATGTTGTCACGTCATTGAATATCACTTCAGCATCAACCACAACGGATCCTTGACTGTAAGAAACATATTTTTGAAACGTTATTTTTGGTGGTTACCTGGTTGTTTAGCTAAGGCTTCATATCTAGGGATTACAGATATATTTTTTAAAGAAAATAACATTTTCAATTTGTTCAAAACATTCTGATCGTCACCATATAATAACACAAAATTAAAACAAAGTTGTAAACACAGTTTTGTTTCTATTATTAACTAAATTATAAGGAATTCATTAGCAGACAAGTATGAAAACACACTGTTTAAAATGTAGGGCAAGCAATTGTTTTAAACCTGAAGCTGTTGATGACAGTACGATTGAAGCTGGATCCATATTGTTCTGAATAGACCATGTCGAGCTGTGAATGAATTTGGTTGAAAAACATTAAAACATTTAAGAATAAAGATGAAATAAGAAAATAATCATTTGAAATGAGTGTTTTTTAATAAATGTTCTTGAGTAGCAAAGGATAGTGTAAGACGCAAAAACAGAAGAAATATATAATATGAACTTACCGCTGTGGTCACTTTGTTCTTTAGTTCAAGGAACGCTGGTGAAGATTTGTTTGCAAGTTGAGGAGTAAAAGTTTCTTTCAACTTAAATCCCAACTTGATTTTTGGCTCTGTTGTGGTAGGTGTTGAGGTTGTAGTTGTAGTTGGAGAGCTAGTAGTTGTGATGCTTGGTGGTGCTGATGTTCCAGTGACAGGCGGAGTGCTTGCATTACCTTGAAATAAGGAAATATGTATTGGAAATAAATATAACATTACACCAAAAAAGGTTGCTTTACTATATATAAATTTCAGCCAGTGATAGTGGTCCAATAATGAAAAAGACTGATGCTACATGTTTGGTGTATCTCACATTTAAATAAAATGAAAACATATAATTAATTATGGACTAGTGGCATAATAGTCATTAAGTTAATACAAAATATAGTATATCCATTGTGGAGAACATGTATTACCAGGCAAGGGCATTGTTGTAACTGGTGGTGAAGTCATGTTTACTGATGGTGAAGTTGGGTTGACTGATGGTGAAGTAATGTTGACTGATGGTGAGGTTGGGTTGACTGGTGATGTAAGGTTGACTGGTGGTGATGTCATGCTGACAGATGGTGAAGTTGGGTTGACTGGTGATGTAATATTGACTCGTGGTGATGTCATGTTTACTGATGGTGAAGTTGGGTTGACTGGTGGTGAAGTAATGTTGACTGATGGTGAGGTTGGGTTGACTGGTGATGTCATGTTTACTGATGGTGATGTTGGGTTGAATGGTGATGTAATGTTGACTGGTGATGAGGTTGGGTTGACTGGTGATGTAATATTGACTGGTGGTGAGGTTGGGTTGACTGGTGATGTAAGGTTGACTGGTGGTGATGTCATGTTTACTGATGGTGAAGTTGGGTTGACTGATGGTGAAGTAATGTTGACTGATGGTGAGGTTGGGTTGACTGGTGATGTAAGGTTGACTGTTGGTGATGTCATGCTGACAGATGGTGAAGTTGGGTTAACTGGGGATGTAATGTTGACTGGTGGTGATGTCATGTTGACTGATGATGAGGTTGGGTTAACTGGGGATGTAATGTTGACTGGTGGTGATGTCATCTTTACTGATGGTGAAGTTGGGTTGACTGATGGTGAAGTAATGTTGACTGATGGTGAGGTTGGGTTGACTGGTAATGTAAGGTTGACTGGTGGTGATGTCATGCTGACAGATGGTGAAGTTGGGTTAACTGGGGATGTCATGTTGACTGATGATGAGGTTGGGTTGACTGGTGATGTAATATTGGCTGGTGTTGATGTCATGTTAACTGATGGTGAAGTTGGGTTGACTGATGGTGAAGTAATGTTGACTGATGGTGATGTTGGGTTGACTGGTGATGTAAGGTTGACTGGTGATGTCATGTTTACTGATGGTGAAGTCAGGTTGACTGATGGTGATGTAATGTTGACTGATGGTGAGGTTGGTTTGACTGGTGATGTAATATTGACTGGTGGTGATGTTGGGTTGACTGGTGTTGATGTCATGTTAACTGATGGTGAAGTTGGGTTGACTGATGGTGAAGTAATGTTGACTGATGGTGAGGTTGGTTTGACTGGTGATGTAAGGTTGACTGCGGGTGATGTCATGCTAACAGATGGTGAAGTTGGGTTGACTGATGGTGAAGTAATGTTGACTGATGGTGATGTCATGTTTACTGATGGTGAAGTTGGGTTGACTGGTGATGTAATGTTGACTGGTGGGGATGTCATGTTTACTGATGGTGAGGTTGGGTTGAATGGTGATGTAATGTTGACTGGTGGGGATGTCGGGTTGACTGGTGGTGATGTTGGGTTGACTGGTGATGAAGTCATGTTGACTGGAGGTGAGGTGATGTTGACAAGTGGTGTTGAAGGGGCAACTGTGGTTGGGGCTGGAGTTGCAGCCAATACAACTACAAATACAAATACAAATGTTCAAATACGTTATTGTGTGGTTTTGATAAACATATTCTTGTCACAAGATAGTCAGTATGTCCTCCCAATAATCAAACTTGACAGTTGGAAGATACAGCAAGTCTTACCTGCTGCAGAAATAGAAGATGTGTTGACACTGAGAGAAAAATTGGAGCTGGAAGAGGCAGTCACCAAAGTTCCAGCTGCAGAAGTGGTATTTGGTAATGTATTCCCTTCATTGAATATCAGTTCAGCATCTACCTCAACGGATCCTTGACTGTAACACAAATATTTTGAAAAGTCATTTTTGATTCCTTATTGTCCTATTGTATATGTTAGCAAACAAGTAGAACAGCCATTTTACAAATGTAATGGCAAGCATTTGTTTTATACCTGAAGCTGTTGATGACAGTACGATTGAAGCTGGATCCATATTGTTCTGAATAGACCATGTCGAGCTGTGAATGAATTTGGTTGAAAAACATTCAAACATTTAAGAATAAAGATGAAATAAGAAAATAATCATTTGAAATGAGTGTTTTTTAATAAATGTTCTTGAGTAGCAAAGGATAGTGTAAGACGCAAAAACAGAAGAAATATATAATATGAACTTACCGCTGTGGTCACTTTGTTCTTTAGTTCAAGGAACGCTGGTGAAGATTTGTTTGCAAGTTGAGGAGTAAAAGTTTCTTTCAACTTAAATCCCAACTTGATTTTTGGCTCTGTTGTGGTAGGTGTTGAGGTTGTAGTTGTAGTTGGAGAGCTAGTAGTTGTGATGCTTGGTGGTGCTGATGTTCCAGTGACAGGCGGAGTGCTTGCATTACCTTGAAATAAGGAAATATTTATTGGAAATAAATATAACATTACACCAAAAAAGGTTGCTTTACTATATATACATTTCAGCCAGTGATAGTGGTCCAATAATGAAAAAGACTGATGCTACATGTTTGGTGTATCTCACATTTAAATAAAATGAAAACATATAATTAATTATGGACTAGTGGTATAATAATCATTAAGTTAATACAAAATATAGTATATCCATTGTGGAGAGCATGTATTACCAGGCAAGGGCATTGATGTAACTGGTGGTGAAGTCATGTTGACTGATGATGAGGTTGGGTTGACTGGTGATGTCATGTTTACTGATGGTGAGGTTGGGTTGACTGGTGATGTAAGGTTGACTGGTGGTGATGTCATCTTTACTGATGGTGAAGTTGGGTTGACTGATGGTGAAGTAATGTTGACTGATGGTGAGGTTGGGTTGACTGGTGATGTCATGTTTACTGATGGTGAGGTTGGATTGACTGGTGATGTAATATTGGCTGGTGTTGATGTCATGTTAACTGATGGTGAGGTTGGTTTGACTGGTGATGTAAGGTTGACTGGTGGTGATGTAATGCTAACAGATGGTGAAGTTGGGTTGACTGATGGTGAAGTAATGTTGACTGATGGTGAGGTTGGTTTGACTGGTGATGTAAGGTTGACTGGTGGTGATGTCATGCTAACAGATGGTGAAGTTGGGTTGACTGATGGTGAAGTAATGTTGACTGATGGTGAGGTTGGTTTGACTGGTGATGTCATGTTTACTGATGGTGAGGTTGGGTTGAATGGTGATGTAATGTTGACTGGTGGGGATGTCATGTTGACTGGTGATGATGTCATGTTGACTGGTGGTGAAGTTGGGTTAACTGGGGATGTACTGTTGACTGGTGATGAGGTTGGGTTGACTGGTGATGTAATATTGGCTGGTCTTGATGTCATGTTAACTGATGGTGAAGTTGGGTTGACTGATGGTGAAGTAATGTTGACTGATGGTGAGGTTGGTTTGACTGGTGATGTAAGGTTGATTGGTGGTGATGTCATGCTAACAGATGGTGAAGTTGGGTTGACTGATGGTGAAGTTGGGTTGACTGATGGTGAGGTTGGTTTGACTGGTGATGTAATATTGACTGGTGGTGATGTTGGGTTGACTGGTGATGTAATGTTGACTGATGGTGAAGTAATGTTGGCTGGTGTTGATGTCATGTTTACTGATGGTGAAGTTGGGTTGACTGGTGGTGAAGTAATGTTGACTGTTGGGTTGACTGGTGATGTAAGGTTGACTGGCGATGTCATGTTTACTGATGGTGAAGTTGGGTTGACTGATGGTGAAGTAATGTTGACTGATGGTGAGGTTGGGTTGACTTGTGATGTAATGTTGACTGATGATGAGGTTGGGTTGACTGGTGATGTAATATTGACTGGTGGTGATGTCATGTTTACTGATGGTGAAGTTGGGTTGACTGATGGTGAAGTAATGTTGACTGATGGTGAGGTTGGGTTGACTGATGGTGAAGTAATGTTGACTGATGGTGAGATGGGGTTGGCTGGTGATGTCATGTTGACTGGTTGTGATGTCATGTTGGGAAGTGGTGATGTCATGTTGACTGGTGATGAGGTGGGGTTGACTGGTGATGTCATGTTGACTGGTGGTGAAGTAATGTTGAGAAGTGGTGATGTCATGTTGACTAGTGATGAGGTCGGGTTGACTGGTGATGTCATGTTGAATGGTGGTAAAGTAAAGTTGCCTGATGGTGAAGTTGGGTTAACTGGTGATGTAATATTGACTGGTGGTGATGTCAAGTTTACTGATGATGAGGTCGGGTTGACTAGTGATGTCATGTTGAATGGTGGTAAAGTAAAGTTGCCTGATGGTGAAGTAATGTTGACTGGTGCTGTCATGTTGATTTGTGATGAGGTAGGATTGACTGGTGTTGAAGTAATGTTGACTGTTGATGCCATATTGACTGGTGGTGAAGTAATATTGGGAAGTGGTGATGTCAAGTTGACTTCTATTGAGGTGGGGTTTACTGGCGAGGTCATATTACCTGGGGCTGAAGTAATGTCAACTGCTGGTGATGAAGTCATGTTGACTGGTGATGAGGTGGGGTTGACTGGTGATGTCATGTTGACTGCTGGTGAAGTAATGTTTGGAAGTGTTGATGTCATGTTGACTGGTGATGAGGTGGGATTGAATGGTGATGAGGTGAAGTTTGCTGGAAGTGAGGTGATGTTGTGTGGTGGTGGTGATGTCATGTTGACTGGTGATGAGGTGGGGTTGACTGGTGATGTCATGTTGACTGGTGATGAGGTTGGGTTGACTGGTGATGTAATATTGGCTGGTGTTGATGTCATGTTAACTGGTGGTGAAGTTGGGTTGACTGATGGTGAAGTAATGTTGACTGATGGTGAGGTTGGTTTGACTGGTGATGTAAGGTTGATTGGTGGTGATGTCATGCTAACAGATGGTGAAGTTGGGTTGACTGATGGTGAAGTTGGGTTGACTGATGGTGAGGTTGGTTTGACTGGTGATGTAATATTGACTGGTGGTGATGTTGGGTTGACTGGTGATGTAATGTTGACTGATGGTGAAGTAATGTTGGCTGGTGTTGATGTCATGTTTACTGATGGTGAAGTTGGGTTGACTGGTGGTGAAGTAATGTTGACTGTTGGTGATGTTGGGTTGACTGGTGATGTAAGGTTGACTGGCGATGTCATGTTTACTGATGGTGAAGTTGGGTTGACTGATGGTGAAGTAATGTTGACTGATGGTGAGGTTGGGTTGACTGGTGATGTCATGTTTACTGATGGTGAGGTTGGGTTGAATGGTGATGTAATGTTGACTGGTGGGGATGTCATGTTGACTGGTGATGATGTCATGTTGACTGGTGATGATGTCCGGTTGACTGGTGGTGATGTTGGGTTGACTGGTGGTGATGTTGGGTTGACTGGTGATGAAGTCATGTTGACTGGAGGTGAGGTGATGTTGACAAGTGGTGTTGAAGGGGCAACTGTGGTTGGGGCTGGAGTTGCAGCCAAAACAACTACAAATACAAATGTTCAAATACGTTATTGTGTGGTTTTGATAAACATATTCTTGTCACAAGATAGTCAGTATGTCCTCCCAATAATCAAACTTGACAGTTGGAAGATACAGCAAGTCTTACCTGCTGCAGAAATAGAAGATGTGTTGACACTGAGAGAAAAATTGGAGCTGGAAGAGGCAGTCACCAAAGTTCCAGCTGCAGAAGTGGTATTTGGTAATGTATTCCCTTCATTGAATATCAGTTCAGCATCTACCTCAACGGATCCTTGACTGTAACACAAATATTTTGAAAAGTCATTTTTGATTCCTTATTGTCCTATTGTATATGTTAGCAAACAAGTAGAACAGCCATTTTACAAATGTAATGGCAAGCAATTGTTTTATACCTGAAGCTGTTGATGACAGTACGATTGAAGCTGGATCCATATTGTTCTGAATAGACCATGTCGAGCTGTGAATGAATTTGGTTGAAAAACATTCAAACATTTAAGAATAAAGATGAAATAAGAAAATAATCATTTGAAATGAGTGTTTTTTAATAAATGTTCTTGAGTAGCAAAGGATAGTGTAAGACGCAAAAACAGAAGAAATATATCATATGAACTTACCGCTGTGGTCACTTTGTTCTTTAGTTCAAGGAACGCTGGTGAAGATTTGTTTGCAAGTTGAGGAGTAAAAGTTTCTTTCAACTTAAATCCCAACTTGATTTTTGGCTCTGTTGTGGTAGGTGTTGAGGTTGTAGTTGTAGTTAGAGAGCTAGTAGTTGTGATGCTTGGTGGTGCTGATGTTCCAGTGACAGGCGGAGTGCTTGCATTACCTTGAAATAAGGAAATATTTATTGGAAATAAATATAACATTACACCAAAAAAGGTTGCTTTACTATATATACATTTCAGCCAGTGATAGTGGTCCAATAATGAAAAAGACTGATGCTACATGTTTGGTGTATCTCACATTTAAATAAAATGAAAACATATAATTAATTATGGACTAGTGGTATAGTAATCATTAAGTTAATACAAAATATAGTATATCCATTGTGGAGAGCATGTATTACCAGGCAAGGGCATTGTTGTAACTGGTGGTGAAGTCATGTTGACTGATGATGAGGTTGGGTTGACTGGTGATGTAATATTGACTGGTGGTGATGTCATGTTTACTGATGGTGAAGTTGGGTTGACTGATGGTGAAGTAATGTTGACTGATGGTGAGGTTGGGTTGACTGGTGATGTAATGTTGACTGATGATGAGGTTGGGTTGACTGGTGATGTAATATTGACTGGTGGTGATGTCATGTTTACTGATGGTGAAGTTGGGTTGACTGATGGTGAAGTAATGTTGACTGATGGTGAGGTTGGGTTGACTGATGGTGAAGTAATGTTGACTGATGGTGAGATGGGGTTGGCTGGTGATGTCATGTTGACTGGTTGTGATGTCATGTTGGGAAGTGGTGATGTCATGTTGACTGGTGATGAGGTGGGGTTGACTGGTGATGTCATGTTGACTGGTGGTGAAGTAATGTTGAGAAGTGGTGATGTCATGTTGACTAGTGATGAGGTCGGGTTGACTGGTGATGTCATGTTGAATGGTGGTAAAGTAAAGTTGCCTGATGGTGAGATTGGGTTGACTGGTGATGTAAGGTTGACTGGTGGTGATGTCATGCTGACAGATGGTGAAGTTGGGTTAACTGGTGATGTAATATTGACTGGTGGTGATGTCAAGTTTACTGATGATGAGGTCGGGTTGACTAGTGATGTCATGTTGAATGGTGGTAAAGTAAAGTTGCCTGATGGTGAAGTAATGTTGACTGGTGCTGTCATGTTGATTTGTGATGAGGTAGGATTGACTGGTGTTGAAGTAATGTTGACTGTTGATGCCATATTGACTGGTGGTGAAGTAATATTGGGAAGTGGTGATGTCAAGTTGACTTCTATTGAGGTGGGGTTTACTGGCGAGGTCATATTACCTGGGGCTGAAGTAATGTCAACTGCTGGTGATGAAGTCATGTTGACTGGTGATGAGGTGGGGTTGACTGGTGATGTCATGTTGACTGCTGGTGAAGTAATGTTTGGAAGTGTTGATGTCATGTTGACTGGTGATGAGGTGGGATTGAATGGTGATGAGGTGAAGTTTTCTGGAAGTGAGGTGATGTTGTGTGGTGGTGGTGATGTCATGTTGACTGGTGATGAGGTGGGGTTGACTGGTGATGTCATGTTGACTGGTGGTGAAGTTGGGTTAACTGGGGATGTAATGTTGACTGGTGATGAGGTTGGGTTGACTGGTGATGTAATATTGGCTGGTGTTGATGTCATGTTAACTGATGGTGAAGTTGGGTTGACTGATGGTGAAGTAATGTTGACTGATGGTGAGGTTGGTTTGACTGGTGATGTAAGGTTGATTGGTGGTGATGTCATGCTAACAGATGGTGAAGTTGGGTTGACTGATGGTGAAGTTGGGTTGACTGATGGTGAGGTTGGTTTGACTGGTGATGTAATATTGACTGGTGGTGATGTTGGGTTGACTGGTGATGTAATGTTGACTGATGGTGAAGTAATGTTGGCTGGTGTTGATGTCATGTTTATTGATGGTGAAGTTGGGTTGACTGGTGGTGAAGTAATGTTGACTGTTGGTGATGTTGGGTTGACTGGTGATGTAAGGTTGACTGGCGATGTCATGTTTACTGATGGTGAAGTTGGGTTGACTGATGGTGAAGTAATGTTGACTGATGGTGAGGTTGGGTTGACTGGTGATGTCATGTTTACTGATGGTGAGGTTGGGTTGAATGGTGATGTAATGTTGACTGGTGGGGATGTCATGTTGACTGGTGATGATGTCATGTTGACTGGTGATGATGTCCGGTTGACTGGTGGTGATGTTGGGTTGACTGGTGATGATGTTGGGTTGACTGGTGATGAAGTCATGTTGACTGGAGGTGAGGTGATGTTGACAAGTGGTGTTGAAGGGGCAACTGTGGTTGGGGCTGGAGTTGCAGCCAAAACAACTACAAATACAAATACAAATGTTCAAATACGTTATTGTGTGGTTTTGATAAACATATTCTTGTCACAAGATAGTCAGTATGTCCTCCCAATAATCAAACTTGACAGTTGGAAGATACAGCAAGTCTTACCTGCTGCAGAAATAGAAGATGTGTTGACACTGAGAGAAAAATTGGAGCTGGAAGAGGCAGTCACCAAAGTTCCAGCTGCAGAAGTGGTATTTGGTAATGTATTCCCTTCATTGAATATCAGTTCAGCATCTACCTCAACGGATCCTTGACTGTAACACAAATATTTTGAAAAGTCATTTTTGATTCCTTATTGTCCTATTGTATATGTTAGCAAACAAGTAGAACAGCCATTTTACAAATGTAATGGCAAGCAATTGTTTTATACCTGAAGCTGTTGATGACAGTACGATTGAAGCTGGATCCATATTGTTCTGAATAGACCATGTCGAGCTGTGAATGAATTTGGTTGAAAAACATTCAAACATTTAAGAATAAAGATGAAATAAGAAAATAATCATTTGAAATTAGTGTTTTTTAATAAATGTTCTTGAGTAGCAAAGGATAGTGTAAGACGCAAAAACAGAAGAAATATATCATATGAACTTACCGCTGTGGTCACTTTGTTCTTTAGTTCAAGGAACGCTGGTGAAGATTTGTTTGCAAGTTGAGGAGTAAAAGTTTCTTTCAACTTAAATCCCAACTTGATTTTTGGCTCTGTTGTGGTAGGTGTTGAGGTTGTAGTTGTAGTTAGAGAGCTAGTAGTTGTGATGCTTGGTGGTGCTGATGTTCCAGTGACAGGCGGAGTGCTTGCATTACCTTGAAATAAGGAAATATTTATTGGAAATAAATATAACATTACACCAAAAAAGGTTGCTTTACTATATATACATTTCAGCCAGTGATAGTGGTCCAATAATGAAAAAGACTGATGCTACATGTTTGGTGTATCTCACATTTAAATAAAATGAAAACATATAATTAATTATGGACTAGTGGTATAGTAATCATTAAGTTAATACAAAATATAGTATATCCATTGTGGAGAGCATGTATTACCAGGCAAGGGCATTGTTGTAACTGGTGGTGAAGTCATGTTGACTGATGATGAGGTTGGGTTGACTGGTGATGTAATATTGACTGGTGGTGATGTCATGTTTACTGATGGTGAAGTTGGGTTGACTGATGGTGAAGTAATGTTGACTGATGGTGAGGTTGGGTTGACTGGTGATGTAATGTTGACTGATGATGAGGTTGGGTTGACTGGTGATGTAATATTGACTGGTGGTGATGTCATGTTTACTGATGGTGAAGTTGGGTTGACTGATGGTGAAGTAATGTTGACTGATGGTGAGGTTGGGTTGACTGATGGTGAAGTAATGTTGACTGATGGTGAGATGGGGTTGGCTGGTGATGTCATGTTGACTGGTTGTGATGTCATGTTGGGAAGTGGTGATGTCATGTTGACTGGTGATGAGGTGGGGTTGACTGGTGATGTCATGTTGACTGGTGGTGAAGTAATGTTGAGAAGTGGTGATGTCATGTTGACTAGTGATGAGGTCGGGTTGACTGGTGATGTCATGTTGAATGGTGGTAAAGTAAAGTTGCCTGATGGTGAAGTTGGGTTAACTGGTGATGTAATATTGACTGGTGGTGATGTCAAGTTTACTGATGATGAGGTCGGGTTGACTAGTGATGTCATGTTGAATGGTGGTAAAGTAAAGTTGCCTGATGGTGAAGTAATGTTGACTGGTGCTGTCATGTTGATTTGTGATGAGGTAGGATTGACTGGTGTTGAAGTAATGTTGACTGTTGATGCCATATTGACTGGTGGTGAAGTAATATTGGGAAGTGGTGATGTCAAGTTGACTTCTATTGAGGTGGGGTTTACTGGCGAGGTCATATTACCTGGGGCTGAAGTAATGTCAACTGCTGGTGATGAAGTCATGTTGACTGGTGATGAGGTGGGGTTGACTGGTGATGTCATGTTGACTGCTGGTGAAGTAATGTTTGGAAGTGTTGATGTCATGTTGACTGGTGATGAGGTGGGATTGAATGGTGATGAGGTGAAGTTTGCTGGAAGTGAGGTGATGTTGTGTGGTGGTGGTGATGTCATGTTGACTGGTGATGAGGTGGGGTTGACTGGTGATGTCATGTTGACTGGTTGATGAGGTTGGGTTGACTGGTGATGTAATATTGGCTGGTGTTGATGTCATGTTAACTGGTGGTGAAGTTGGGTTGACTGATGGTGAAGTAATGTTGACTGATGGTGAGGTTGGTTTGACTGGTGATGTAAGGTTGATTGGTGGTGATGTCATGCTAACAGATGGTGAAGTTGGGTTGACTGATGGTGAAGTTGGGTTGACTGATGGTGAGGTTGGTTTGACTGGTGATGTAATATTGACTGGTGGTGATGTTGGGTTGACTGGTGATGTAATGTTGACTGATGGTGAAGTAATGTTGGCTGGTGTTGATGTCATGTTTACTGATGGTGAAGTTGGGTTGACTGGTGGTGAAGTAATGTTGACTGTTGGTGATGTTGGGTTGACTGGTGATGTAAGGTTGACTGGCGATGTCATGTTTACTGATGGTGAAGTTGGGTTGACTGATGGTGAAGTAATGTTGACTGATGGTGAGGTTGGGTTGACTGGTGATGTCATGTTTACTGATGGTGAGGTTGGGTTGAATGGTGATGTAATGTTGACTGGTGGGGATGTCATGTTGACTGGTGATGATGTCATGTTGACTGGTGATGATGTCCGGTTGACTGGTGGTGATGTTGGGTTGACTGGTGGTGATGTTGGGTTGACTGGTGATGAAGTCATGTTGACTGGAGGTGAGGTGATGTTGACAAGTGGTGTTGAAGGGGCAACTGTGGTTGGGGCTGGAGTTGCAGCCAAAACAACTACAAATACAAATGTTCAAATACGTTATTGTGTGGTTTTGATAAACATATTCTTGTCACAAGATAGTCAGTATGTCCTCCCAATAATCAAACTTGACAGTTGGAAGATACAGCAAGTCTTACCTGCTGCAGAAATAGAAGATGTGTTGACACTGAGAGAAAAATTGGAGCTGGAAGAGGCAGTCACCAAAGTTCCAGCTGCAGAAGTGGTATTTGGTAATGTATTCCCTTCATTGAATATCAGTTCAGCATCTACCTCAACGGATCCTTGACTGTAACACAAATATTTTGAAAAGTCATTTTTGATTCCTTATTGTCCTATTGTATATGTTAGCAAACAAGTAGAACAGCCATTTTACAAATGTAATGGCAAGCAATTGTTTTATACCTGAAGCTGTTGATGACAGTACGATTGAAGCTGGATCCATATTGTTCTGAATAGACCATGTCGAGCTGTGAATGAATTTGGTTGAAAAACATTCAAACATTTAAGAATAAAGATGAAATAAGAAAATAATCATTTGAAATTAGTGTTTTTTAATAAATGTTCTTGAGTAGCAAAGGATAGTGTAAGACGCAAAAACAGAAGAAATATATCATATGAACTTACCGCTGTGGTCACTTTGTTCTTTAGTTCAAGGAACGCTGGTGAAGATTTGTTTGCAAGTTGAGGAGTAAAAGTTTCTTTCAACTTAAATCCCAACTTAATTTTTGGCTCTGTTGTGGTAGGTGTTGAGGTTGTAGTTGTAGTTAGAGAGCTAGTAGTTGTGATGCTTGGTGGTGCTGATGTTCCAGTGACAGGCGGAGTGCTTGCATTACCTTGAAATAAGGAAATATTTATTGGAAATAAATATAACATTACACCAAAAAAGGTTGCTTTACTATATATACATTTCAGCCAGTGATAGTGGTCCAATAATGAAAAAGACTGATGCTACATGTTTGGTGTATCTCACATTTAAATAAAATGAAAACATATAATTAATTATGGACTAGTGGTATAGTAATCATTAAGTTAATACAAAATATAGTATATCCATTGTGGAGAGCATGTATTACCAGGCAAGGGCATTGTTGTAACTGGTGGTGAAGTCATGTTGACTGATGGTGAGGTTGGGTTGATTGGTGATGTAATGTTTACTGATGGTGAGGTTGGGTTGAATGGTGATGTAATATTGACTGGTGGTGATGTCATGTTTACTGATGGTGAAGTTGGGTTGACTGATGGTGAAGTAATGTTGACTGATGGTGAGGTTCGTTTGACTGGTGATGTAATATTGACTGGTGGTGATGTTGGGTTGACGGGTGATGTAATGTTGACTGATGGTGAAGTAATGTTGGCTGGTGTTGATGTCATGTTTACTGATGGTGAAGTTGGGTTGACTGGTGGTGAAGTAATGTTGACTGTTGGTGATGTTGGGTTGACTGGTGATGTAAGGTTGACTGGTGATGTCATGTTTACTGATGGTGAAGTTGGGTTGACTGATGGTGAAGTAATGTTGACTGATGGTGAGGTTGGGTTGACTTGTGATGTCATGTTTACTGATGGTGAGGTTGGGTTGAATGGTGATGTAATGTTGACTGGTGGGGATGTCATGTTGACTGGTGATGAGGTTGGGTTGACTGGTGATGTAATATTGACTGATGGTGAAGTTGGGTTGAATGGTGATGTAATGTTGACTGGTGGGGATGTCATGTTGACTGGTGATGATGTCCGGTTGACTGGTGGTGAAGTTGGGTTGACTGGTGGTGATGTTGGGTTGACTGGTGATGAAGTCATGTTGACTGGAGGTGAGGTGATGTTGACAAGTGGTGTTGAAGGGGCAACTGTGGTTGGGGCTGGAGTTGCAGCCAAAACAACTACAAATACAAATACAAATGTTCAAATACGTTATTGTGTGGTTTTGATAAACATATTCTTGTCACAAGATAGTCAGTATGTCCTCCCAATAATCAAACTTGACAGTTGGAAGATACAGCAAGTCTTACCTGCTGCAGAAATAGAAGATGTGTTGACACTGAGAGAAAAATTGGAGCTGGAAGAGGCAGTCACCAAAGTTCCAGCTGCAGAAGTGGTATTTGGTAATGTATTCCCTTCATTGAATATCAGTTCAGCATCTACCTCAACGGATCCTTGACTGTAACACACATATTTTGAAAAGTCATTTTTGATTCCTTATTGTCCTATTGTATATGTTAGCAAACAAGTAGAACAGCCATTTTACAAATGTAATGGCAAGCAATTGTGTTATACCTGAAGCTGTTGATGACAGTACGATTGAAGCTGGATCCATATTGTTCTGAATAGACCATGTCGAGCTGTGAATGAATTTGGTTGAAAAACATTCAAACATTTAAGAATAAAGATGAAATAAGAAAATAATCATTTGAAATTAGTGTTTTTTAATAAATGTTCTTGAGTAGCAAAGGATAGTGTAAGACGCAAAAACAGAAGAAATATATAATATGAACTTACCGCTGTGGTCACTTTGTTCTTTAGTTCAAGGAACGCTGGTGAAGATTTGTTTGCAAGTTGAGGAGTAAAAGTTTCTTTCAACTTAAATCCCAACTTGATTTTTGGCTCTGTTGTGGTAGGTGTTGAGGTTGTAGTTGTAGTTGGAGAGCTAGTAGTTGTGATGCTTGGTGGTGCTGATGTTCCAGTGACAGGCGGAGTGCTTAGATTACCTTGAAATAAGGAAATATTTATTGGAAATAAATATAACATTACACCAAAAAAGGTTGCTTTACTATATATTACATTACATTACATTACATTGCATTTAGCTGACGCTTTTATCCAAAGCGACTTACAATAAGTACATTCGACCAGGAAGACACAACCTTGAAGAAAACAGAATCATATAAGTACATCAGGTTTCATAGAGCCAAACATTTCAAGTGCTACTCCATTGGCTTTAGGTAAGCCAGTCCTTTATTAGTATAAAAGTGCTTCGTTAATAGTTCTAACGCTCGAAGTGGAGTCGAAAGAGATGTATACATATATACATTTCAGCCAGTGATAGTGGTCCAATAATGAAAAAGACTGATTCTACATCTTTGGTGTAGCTCACATTTAAATAAAATGAAAACATATAATTAATTATGGACTAGTGGTATAATAATCATTAAGTTAATACAAAATATAGTATATCCATGGTGGAGAGCATGTATTACCAGGCAAGCGCATTGTTGTAACTGGTGGTGAAGTCATGTTGACTGATGATGAGGTTGGGTTGACTGGTGATGTAATATTGACTGGTGGTGATGTCATGCTGACAGATGGTGAAGTTGGGTTGACTGATGGTGAAGTAATGTTGACTGATGGTGAGGTTGGGTTGACTGGTGATGTAAGGTTGACTGGTGGTGATGTCATGCTGACAGATGGTGAAGTTGGGTTAACTGGGGATGTAATGTTGACTGGTGATGAGGTTGGGTTGACTGGTGATGTAATATTGGATGGTGTTGATGTCATGTTAACTGATGGTGAAGTTGGGTTGACTGATGGTGAAGTAATGTTGACTGATGGTGAGGTTGGTTTGACTGGTGATGTAAGGTTGACTGGTGGTGATGTCATGCTAACAGATGGTGAAGTTGGT